TTCTCTTATAGTTGCTATATGTGTCCCTCTTAACTTTTCTAGCTCATAATCTTAACTTTATTTGACGTCTGAACGTTATCCCTCATGAAATGAGAAATGGGAAAGGTCTGGACTTCAGACCCTCGAAGAACCTTGATGGGTAACAGGATAACAGGATATTTATTGCATCACATATCTAATGACTGGAGAGTTGAGTTTCAATGAATCGGAAGAGAGCTTCCAACCCGAATTGGCATATGACATGATGATATTTAAACTTTAATACTTCCTGAAACCTGCTCTTTGACTAGCTGGCATCATTGAGAACGTATCATCTCTTGACTCTGCATAATCAGAAAGTAGCACGCTATCACTGGAATGTTAATGTGATAGAGTATAAACCTCAAAGTCCACATCTCAGGTAGTTTGAATATACCTTTTCGGATCCTTCAAACATCCCGCTCAGTCTCATAGAACCTGGGCTGCAGAAACTTAAAGGTGTTGACCAAGGAGGCGATAGCATGACATGCGTAATGCCAATGTGACAGATCTGTATACTAAGCATGACTGAGGAAGGATCATCACTCGACTCCTCATTGCCAAGAAGATTGTAGATACACAAGCCTTCCATTTGTCTTCCAAGAAGATTAGAGCCTCTTGAATATTCACTCTTCTCCAAGGAAAAGGTATCGAACAGCCCGAACTCTACATAAGTTGTTAACTAAAGGAAGTGGGGCTCGAGCAGTTAACAATTTTCAGATGAAGTTAACGGAATATATCAACACAGAAAGAAAGAAATGTTGCACATCTACAAGAGGGGTACTCCGGGCTTTCGGTTCTAGACATCTTCGCTTCCCCTCAAGCCCCAGGATCATCCCCTAAATTCTTCGCCTCTCACCTATCAACACAATACAAATATCCTCTTATCTTTCTGTTGCATAACTACTGAGGGGTAATTCCCCTCTCTGGAAAATTGTTGAACACCAGTCCCATCACCAAACGAATAACAGAAGAAAAATGAGAAATTCGGGACCATAATAGGACGATATCGGAATATCCAAACTAAATACCAAGTTGTTCCATCCACCCAGAGTCTTATTTTCCCCTGCACTAAGCTGTGTCTTATTTGAGTCCGTCACCAATAGTAAATGGTCGAATATCGGTAACTTGTACCGTTATCTATCACAAAAATCACATCATGTAAAGCTTGACGTACAAGTGAGAAAGTTATATCGATCATCTTTCCGAAAAGCCAGTCCTCTTCTCCAATGTGAATGAGGGGCAACAGAGGACTTGAGGGGTCAAGCGGGGAAGTGGAACACTATGAACCCCACTCCTCTCGTTGGCCGAACTCGCAGGTTATGGAGATTATCCGAACTACTTATGTTAAGCCTGCGAAGCGTACTAAGTACGCCGAGATAAGATCATATATAGCGGTGTGCAGATCTATCGTAAACAACAATGTGAACGGTGAGTCTGTGACTGCCTTGATATGTTATGTTATGTGGTGTGATATGATGATGTGTTGGTGTTGGTTGATAAGGAATGGTGATCGATTTACTAATGAAGTGGGGAAAGTGAGGAGATCTGATCGCGCGATCCGCGTTTACGTGAGGAAAGGAGAATTAAGAGGATATAAAGAGGTCTGTAGAAAAAGATTGAGGTATACATATATCAAGTCCTAAAAGTACTGCCATTGACCTGCAAAGTACATGTTGGAAAGAGGTTGATTGACCTCTCTTCCTCACTAAACTTCACCTTGCATGGACAAAAGCGAACTGAGACTATCAGCAGCTTGAAGGGATTTTATTATCAGAGGAAAGACAACAGTACACAACTATTGATGCATAACATGATTAGGTATTCTCAAGTATGCAGTTAATCTATCTTATTCGTATGATTGTGACTTGGATCTTCATAGGAAGATCCGTCGGTCGTTGAGCTTTTCCTATGTTGCATGGCCTTCGGCAACAAACCAGATACCTTGGTCCGTATATATGATAACATACCATACCATAACATAACATACCAATCCATTCCATTCCATACTGCATCAAAACACTATTGCAATTATGCCCCACACTGTGTATATCACTCTATGCATGACTCCTAGTCCAATACCCAACTCCACCCGTAGTGATGCGACGCCAAAACCCCGTTCCTCGAATGAAGTAAAAGTGTCTACAATTGAATATCATTGTTGAGAAGTCGAACCTCCTCACCTGGTTTGAAAGCAGGCATACCGATGTAAGGACAGCCATCACAACGGAATGCATCACCTAAGCTGCAGTTTCCACAAGATCCAACTTTTCCTTGGACTGTGAAATCTACTTCAGCTAGATCGTCTGCATCAAGCTTAAGAGCTTGAAGTTGGCTATCGGCTGTTGCTCGTTTGTCTGCATCTTCCTTTGCAATCTTTTCGGCAAGGCCACATGTGCAATCCTTACATGCGCGACGACGCTTTCCAGCTCTTGGTGCACACTCAGGAGCTGCGAGGTATTAGCAACAATTGAGAATGGAATATATCAATTACTCACGAATAGCAAGAGGTTTCTTCATATCCTCCTCAGTGAGAAGAGTGTCCTCATCAATTAATTCATCGTCATCGTCCTCCGCATCAAAGTCGTCACTGAAATCAATGAAGCCAACTCCCTTTGGTGCATCATTCTTTGACGAATCCACCTTTAGTACGTCCTTCTCTGGCACATCATTTGCCATATCTACACTCTTTCTCTTGCCTTGTAGTAATACTGCAGGGCCAGCGCTTGAAACAGCTGCATTCTTGCTATTGTCCTTTCTGCGGAGTCGTAGAGGAACTGCAATACTCGCGCTATGATCGGGTTTGAGCATTACCCCTCCTTCTGCTACCAAACCAGACAAAATAGCCTCCTGATATTCTGTACCATCGATTTCTTGTCCAAAGGTACCATCCTGTGCCTGCAACTTTGCACCTGCCTTCAAAGCTTGTGTAATTTTTTCAAATACATCTCTTGTTAACAACCCTTTAGATTCGACTCGTGTACCATCGGCATCGGTGAGAATGAGGACTAAATCGTAGGTTGATTCTGGAAGTGTGACTAATCCTGCAGAGAGACGATCCAGCATCTGTAAATCGGTAACAGTTCTATCATGGGTAGCAAGAACATTTCTCAATTTTTCTTCATGACTAGCGATAGAGGGAGGAGCAAGGAGTAGTGTGCGAGGATTGAATGAAGTCGTCTTGAAGTTTGTGGGTATCGGACTGAAATCGGAGGAATTGTCAATAGTGACAGAGGGGGCCATGGCGGGGTCGTTGGTGGCGATTAAACGCTCCCTTTCTTTCTATAATAAACTTGTTGAGTATTGTGCTAATCGTGTCAAGTTTGACAGCAGAATAACTCCTCGAAGAAAATGACAGGAACTGGAAGAAAAGGTGATGTCAGAAGGATAGAATTTTCACAGTATCTTCCTTATGTACGGGTGCTGAGCAAATATTATTTCTTATCAGGTTTGGTCAAAGGGTTTCGGAGATGTTAATTCTTGATAATTCTTGAAATTTAATTATTAAGCAATCTTTTCGACCACTAGGAGTTGAGAGAAAGGGAAATTCTTCTGCGAATATTGGAATTGGCGAGCCCTTATTGGCCGATAATGAAAAATTGCTGTAAAGGGTGTTGAAAACCGACTAAAACAGGATATGATTGATTATGCATGCGAAATACATTATTTTCATTGGTCAACCCGTACTCATTACTACGAAGTAGGTACCTGGTAGGTCATTGCCGCACCACCGCCAAGGGCCGCTAGCATTTCCCTGCCGCTCCCTACCGAGCCTGCTCCTCATTAGCTTCATATTCCCCGCATTTACTAGGGTGAATGCCCATCGAACGATTTCTTTAGTACTGGTGTACGTACCACTCGAATGACATGTTTGGAGTGAAAGCTCACCAAAGAAAGAAGAAGAGAAGAGAGGAGAAGAGAAAGTAAGGAAATGGAAAAAATTCCCACCCAGCCGAGAGTAACGAGTTGCAACAAAGAAACTGGTACATCACTGAATCCATTGGATGTACGGTGTTTCACAGGATCACATCAGGAGATAACATTCGTTGTAGGAGGTAATGAGTGCTGATGAGTCCAATTCAATTCGATGAAGAGAACCTTGGAAGTGAAGAGAAGAGTATGTATTGTTATTAGATACTGATAGGTATGTAGCTTCGGTCATTGGCAGTGAACAAAGAGAACCATGATTGAGAGTTGTGATTTGAATGAGCTGTTCTTAGGTAGGTACGGAGTACACGTTAGACAGATGATTTATGAACAGACGAATATTCTGTGATTATGACGCAAAGGAAGCATGACCTGAGATGACTTGATGTGACTTGGTGTGACTTGATCCTATGAAATGGCTAGATTGTCATGTATAAGTGGTATCAACATACCAATGATACCATACCTACATACCTCCATACCCACCTGGTACCTAGTAGAGCGCACCGTAAAATCCGTTGAAATGTAAGTACTTGTCACTTATTGATATGTGGAACTTGTAAGTTATATCAAAACATCCAACCAATGAAGAGGCTCAGACTTCTAGAGGGTACCAGAATACCAAAAGTAGGTCGCGTGACAGTTCATTGGAATTGAGAAAGGGATGATCTAACCGAATATTGCAGTGTGAAGCTTAACCTCTCTTGGTACACTCACTCAAACCTCAACCTCCTTAAAGAATCATCAATTCATCAATTCATCTTCTTTCTATTCACAACACGTTTAGAAATCCATTGATTTTTTCAAACTCTTCAATCAATCTTCATCAAGTAACCTTCTCTACCTTTCGAATACCATCAATCTATCTGACCTTGTACCTTTTCAAACACTACCTGCAATCATTTAACAGTAAGTTTGTCCTGACGTCGCTTTGTTTATACCCCGCCTTCATGCGTAGTACTATCACACTTGTCCCTCCCAACCAAACTATCGACTTTCTCGATGAAGCTTTCTCTTATATGATGAAAGCGTTGTACTCTTACGCACATGTGCTAATGTATCAACCTCTTCTAGTGGGCAAATCACACAAGTACAATGATCGCGACCATGCTGGCCTTGCCGATGGTACCGCTCTCCCACAAGAGCATTTGCCTCGTTATTTCGCAAAGTCAGGTCATATTGATGCCGATCCGAAGAAAGCCAAGAAGAACGGTGCTGGAAAGGGTGGATGGTATAGTCCTCCTTTTAATTCTTACCTTATCGTCTTAGTGCAATCTCTCTTCAATAACTCCAACTTCTTTGACTAACGTATCAAATACAGGGGTGTAAATGGTGAAGAAGTCCAAGATGAAGGTTTCAATATGGCCAATGCTCGTCGTCGTTCCAACAGTAGCTCTTATACTGCCGGTCTCAAAGACTTCAAGACCAAATTCGAACAAATCGAAACCGAGCCAGTTTTTGAGGAGACCATCCATGGCGCCTTGATGGAGGAACTTCCAGAGACTACCCGCTCCAACACAAACACTTCCGAGAGTAGCAGTGTTGATGAGGATGTCAAGGCCAAGTAAATTTTGGATCTTGATGGACTGGATATGACATGAAATTCTTACATAAATGTCATCTTTATGAGGACTTGATGGTTATTTGCCGGCGGATCGATACAATTGCAATCTTCTCTCTTTACGGATGGAGTGCAGGGATATGAGGAATATGAATGAAATGAAATGTTACTTTGAGCTGGCACCGGTTTATAAGTCCAGATGTATTACCAGAGCTTCTATTTAGCTACTACCAAAGGCATAGAAAGGTTGCCCAGTAAATCTCTTGTTCTTGATTTGTGTGATGATTATTTGTGTTGATGTTATGATACAGTTAACCAAGCCACGAGTGTACGCAATTATTTACGTCTGAAAATGATGAAGAGCTGTTACAGTCCAAGACAGCGTAACTACTGCTCGGGTCCTACGATAGTGGCATACGTGCGTCATGCGTGGGGTTGGCCTTTCCCGATATCGTACGGAGTTGTCATGCCGATAAGGACAACAGCACGGAACATCCGATGAATACCTAGTGCTCACTCACCTCTTACTTTCACCATCCATCCGTCCATTCTTGAGAGTGAGTGTGAATCCCACGCAGATCCTCTCACCTCATCTTTAACCGTCCAATTCGATTAGATTCATAAAGTAAAGATAAAGATAGCAAAGATGCCCTACAAACTCCACAACAGAAACGTTCTCGTGACAGGTGGAACCCGGTGAGTGAACCCCGCATTTCCCCACAACCTTTTTATCATCAACGCTTGATCTGCTGTTGCTCATAGCATCGCTGAAATTCACAATACACTGTATACTGGTAGTATTGTATACTAATTCGTGGCTGGAAAAGAGGATTAGGCGAAGTCATCTGTCTTAAATTTGCGGCGGAGGGTTGTAATATTGCTATCAACTATGTTTCTAGAAGGGAGAAGGCGCAGGAAATGAAGGAGAAGATGGAGAGGGAGTGGGGGGTTAAGGTTTTTTGTTTGATGGGTGTAGGTTGATTTTCTTTTGTTGTCGAAGAGAGAAATGGAGTGAAAGGGAGTGACCTTCAATACATTGACAAATGAGGGGATGAAAGTGAAAGACATGAGATGGAATGTTCATAAATGAGGCTAATCACACCAATGGTGATAGGATATGAGTCAAGAGTCCGATTGCATTTCTGTTGTGAAGGAAACAATCAAGGAGTTTGGAGGGCTGGATATTATTATATCAAATGCTGTAAGTACACACATCTTCTTCAGGCACCTTGGCCAATTTAGAGGAGCGATTCTAAAACAACCAAGGGCTATACACGGTTCTCAACTTTCTCCGATCTCTCAGCTCCTACCCCGGATGATTGGCAGAAATGCTATGCTACAAATGTGGTAGCTCAGTCTATCTTGTTGAGAGAGGCGTTGTCTACCTTTGAGACAAACGATGAGGGAGGAGTATTCATCATGACAAGCAGTATTGCAGGTGTCATTGCTGGGGGCAGTAAGTCTTACACTTTTTTTTCTTTGTGTCGTTGCAAGTGATCATCTAGAGGTAAGATCTGGATCTCTAGAGACCGGGCTGATGAGATTGAAAAAGGTTGCATGCCATATTCCGTGACAAAAGCCGCACAATTACATTTGATGAAATGCTTGGCTGCTACCCAGGGGCCAAAAGTTCGAGTTAATGCCGTCTTGCCGGGGTTGATACTCACAGAATGGGTATGTCATGATCTTTCTCTATGTTTCTCCTAATCAAGGGAGGTAATTTTGGCGTGAATCCCGGTTCACGAGCAGTTTTCTCGTGGGAGACACTAGATGCAGGAGTCATCACAAGTGTAAACTTTGACTAATGGCGGCCACAATCATTCTGACACTAGAATTGCACAGGGAAAGACATACTCGGAGGAAGATCAAAAGAAATTGAAGGATAAAGCATATTTGAAACGGGTGGTAAGTATTCTTCTAATTCTCCCTACTCCCCCTTCTTTTTCTTTTCCCCCAATTTTTGTATTATGAATGATTGGTCAAGGAAAGAGTTTACTAAAATCCAATTTAAAAAACAGACGGACATCGAAGATTGTGCCCAGGCATTCGTAGATATTGCGAAGAACAGCAGTATGACAGGACAGAAAATACAAGTTGGTAGGTGTCTTTGTTTGATTGTTTCTTGAACGGATTAAAACATTGAAGACAGGTAAATTAAGCGCTAACGGTTGATAGATTCTGGACTTGCACATAATGTGTGAGCCTTCTAATCTCTTATGAGAATATAGGAGTTAAGGCAGAGTATGGATGTACGCAACGAATTCTGCAGTTAAAAAGATTCTGGCACGGGTTGAGCTTTGATATGATATATTATTACTATTAAACTCTATTCTATAAACAAGATCATTACTTATGTGCTTTTGGTAGAAAGCCCACCTCACGTAAATATTCAACATTCTTACGAATGGCAACTTCAATCCTCGAAGGAGTAGAGAGTTTTACATCCTGCGGTATTTCATCCATAAGCATGCCTAATTTGCCTTGTTCCTTCTCCAGATTGTGGATCAAAGGCCAAAGGGGATGGCTCTCGTGTTTCGAGTCAATATCGGCATAAATAGCATCCAGCCATTTAGCCTGTCTCAATGGTTTGATCTTGTAGCCAAAATTTCTTTCCAGAATAGACCAAAACTCACGAACGGGTAGACCTTCACTCATTCCAATATACGGATCGGAGGAAGCGTTCTGTTTTGTATCACAGCAATCTAATACAATTTTGGCCACATTACCGACATCAGAAATGAAAAGCCAGGAATCGGCGTCTGATTCATTGAAACTCCCAATTTCTATGCAACTTGCCACAAGTCTCCAGATAAAGTCACTGGTATTGGCAATACCAAGCTTGGGAGTACCAATGGTGTAACTAGGCTTTACAACAAAGACCCGACTGCGATTTTGAATACTTGTCTGGGAGTACTCTTGCACCAGGCGCTGTGAGATGAATTTTGTTTTTGCGTATTCAGTCGGGAGAATCTCATTAATTTGGTCGTCGTCCATATAAAGATACTTTTCTGCCACCGATGGCCCATTGTATCCTCCGGATATAAATACAAACTTCAAGATGGATGGTGTTTCGTTCATAATATTCAAGAGGATCCAAGTCGAGTCAACATTTGCCGCCTTTAAAGACGAAAAGTCGCAGTTCCAGTGCACTTTGGCACCACAGTGAATAATCCCATGTACTTGCCGAGAAATGTCTGACTTCCCGGTTAGGCAGTCCCATTGGTCCGAGTTTAAACCCAGGCGACATTTTCCAAGATCTCCAGGCCATACTTCTATCTTTTCGAGATACGAATCTGACCACCATTCTGCTTGCATTGCTGCCTTTCTAACCCTTTGCAGGCCATCCTTTAAGTTTTTCGCACGAACATGAACCATAATCTTCTTAATATCTTTGCGAGTGCAGAGCTGGTGCAGCAATTCTGATCCGAGGAATCCTGTTCCCCCTGTCAAGAACACGTTTTGTACGGATGGATCTCTTCCCCAGCTCTTTGCATCCATTTGCTGTTTATACATCTGAAATTCTGTTCTTAAATCAACAGGCTTTTCGATACTTTGACTAAAACCCACGGTTTTAATGTCCTCAATATGCTGCGTCACTCTGCGAATTGTTGCCTTCGGATGCAGCAACACGCTGATGTGAAGCTTGACTGCGAATTCTTGCTTGATGAACATCAACAAACTGATGACTTGAATGGAATCAAGACCAATTGTTGCCAAAGTAATGTCCTGGTCAATCAGTTTCGATTTGGCTTGGCTATCGGTGTGGTAAACGAGCGAGGCGAGTTTTCTGGATAGCTTGAAACCAACTATGCTTTCTTTGGATAAGGAAGTGCCGTTCTGGCCGTTGTTATGACCATTGGTGGCACCGTTTTTAGTGCTATTTGTTTCTCTGTTGATGGCCTCATCGACATGACTGATGGAAAAACCATTGTCAAGTATTGTATTTGCAGAATCACGATTCAGTTGAGGAAGCCACTGTTCTACTGACTTTCGATCGATCTTCCCTGAAACAGAAAGTGGTATTTTCTCAACAGCAAACCAATGACTTGGCACCATGTAACTCGGTAATTTATTCCTCAAAAATTGATCAAGGTCGGCAATGCTGAAACCCGCCGCAGACAATCGGTGATTGCTAACCGAGGAGAGAACATTCGTAGCCGAAGTCGGCTCCAAACTCATATCGATCTGGATTATTGCCACAAGAGATTTCGCGAAAGCTCCAATCTTGGGACTCGTAGCCATGGCTAGAGCAACGTTGGGATATGCTGAGATGTTGTATTCAACCTCTGAAAGTTCGACTCGTTGTCCTCGCACTTTCACTTGGAAGTCTTTTCTCCCAACCCAATCTAGAGATCCGTCGGAAGTGTACCGTACAAGATCTCCCGTCTTGTAGAAACGTCGGGCCCGTGTCCCTATAAGTTCTGGTGGCCACTTTGGGTCTTTGATAAATGCAGCTTTGGTTTTGTCCATGTCACCGATGTAACCGCGAGCCAGAGTGGGCCCTTCAACAAGTAGTTCTCCTACTGCACCAATTGGAACTATGCGGTTGTGGTCCTTTGGATCTACCAGCCAATATAATGCCTGTCCAAAGGGTTTTCCAAGATTTGAGCCTCTATTGTTTGAACGCAGTTGAATAAATGCTGTGGGAGAAGCTTCTGCACACCCGTAACAATTATACAGAGCGACTTCGTTGGACCATCTGGTTATATTTTCTTGTGTGACTACCTCACCGCCAAGTGCCATAATTTCAAGACATGGCACATCTTCCGGAGATATCAGACTGGCTAATGATGGGGTAAATAGCACCCAATTTACCTGCATAGTGTTCATGATACCGACAATATTGTTTTGGCGGTCATCTTCAGAAGGACTACATACACATCCTCCAAACATAAGTGTAGTGAAGATATCCATCATACTTACGTCGAAGGTATATGCAGCATATTGGAATACACGAGACTTGGAGTTCCACCCAAAAGCTGTACCGTGAAAAAGCGAAGCTGTGCA